GATGTTAATCTTGTGATAATGTTCTTAAGTAATTGAAATAAAAATCAAAAATTTTGAGAAACAGTGACGTATAACTTGTACTAAATTAATGAAACATTTTTTCTAACAATTTGAAGAAAAAAGTTTTTAAAAAGTGAAATGAATAATTGAATGTTCTTGCATTCTAAATATCTGATAACTGAAAAATATTTAACTTTAAACGTTAGAAAATATCATTTCTGAGACACTCTGTGCATGGAGATGATTTCAGGAGATTTTGTGGATATTTTTTTATTTTAGGACTTTACTAAATTAAAAATTTTTAAAATATTTTTTTAATTATCATTGATAATTATTTCTTAGTCATATGAGACCAAGAAAAAAGGTGTGGGTAAAGTGGAAGAAAAACAGGCCATCCTCCACGAAGAAGGCAAAATGGACGATGGTTTAGATTTCAGTAGGAGTCAAGAAGAAGAATCCAGAACTGCTCGAGTCATTCGTAAATGTAGTTCCCTTTTTACCCAATTCATTAAGTACAATTCTACCCCAAAAAAATCACTTTTTTACGAACAAATTTACTTTATAGTGGACTAGAAACCCTCCAAATGAACCGTCGCCATTCAGTATTCTTTTTAGCAGTGAATTTAAACGAAATGGTCATGTGTCTTGAAGATTTAATCAATTATTTTGCCCAACCCGAGGATGACATGGGTAATTGTGTTTGTTTTTGGTTCAAATATTAACAAATTTTAATTTAGAACACGAGGAGAAGCAAAATAGGTTTAGGGCCTTGAGAAACAGACAAGACCTGTTTCAGGAAGAAGGCATTTTGAATTTAATTCTAGAAGCCATAGATAAAATCAATGTGATAACGTCTCAAGGCTTTTTAGCCGGACTTGCTGGTGATCAAAACTGGGAAATGATTTCCGGTTATTTGTACCAATTGCTCGGTAATTATTTATTTTTGTTGGTAATTTTTTTATTGTTGATATTTTAGCTGCGATTATCAAGGGGAATCACACAAATTGTGCTCAATTTGCCAATTCGAACCGCTTGAATTGGCTTTTTTCCCGCTTGGGTTCCCAAGCTTCCAGCGAAGGTACTGGAATGTTGGATGTGCTCCATTGTGTGCTTATTGATTCACCGGAAGCTTTAAATATGATGAGGGTTGGTTTTGTATCTAGTCAAATTTTTATAAATCAAAGTAATTTAAGGACGAACATATTAAAGTAATAATTTCTCTTCTCGAGAAACATGGGAGAGATCCGAAGGTTTTGGACGTACTTTGCTCACTTTGTGTTGGTAATGGTGTCGCAGTGCGTAGCTCACAAAACAATATCTGTGATTATCTTCTTCCTGGAAAAAATTTACTTTTACAAACTCAATTAGTAGATCATGTAGCAAGGTACGATTTTATTGGATTATTTTGTTTTTTCAATTGTAATTTGTTGTAGTGTAAGACCAAATATTTTTGTGGGTAGAGTTGAAGGTAGCGCAATTTATCAAAAATGGTATTTTGAAGTTACTGTAGATCACATAGAACAAACCACTCACATGATGCCTCATCTGAGGATTGGGTGGGCCAACTCCAAAGGGTGAGTAAAATTTGCATTTTTAACAATTTTTTAACATAAGATAAATTAGTTTTTTGTTATTTATTTCTTCATTTTTATTATACATTTCATGTGGTCACACTTATTTTTTCTTTATACTTTATTTTAAGTAAAATAAAATAAAAGGTAAGTACCTTTTGTTGATTTATACAAATATTTTACACTACTGTTCTTATCCTGGGTGATTTATAGAAAACGGCAGGCCCAGTAAAATTTTTAATTATGTCCCGATTTCAAATATTAAAAAAATTAATTAAATGGGTTTTAATATATAATATATTCAACTTGTTAATTTTAAATTGAAACACATATTCTTTTCGTCATAATTTGGAAGGTATCGCTTCTACTAAAAATTATTGTTTAAAAAATTTAATAAAGTTAAAAAAAATAATAAAAGTTAATAAAATCTAATTGCACTATGACAACTAAGACAATGCCATTATTGTAATGTCAAAAAGCAGCAAATGAAAGAAAATATTTCAAATGTTTAATAAGAAATGACACGAATAATTACCTATAACAAATCAAAAAAACATATAATTTACTGTTTTTAATTTATTTTATTGTTATTTATTTGTATTGTTTGCTTCTAATAAAGTTATTGCTAATGTTAATTTTTTTATTGACGCCATGCAACTAGATTTTATTAACTGTTATTATTTTTTTTAACTTTGATATTTTTTTTTAAACAATAATTTTAGTAAAAGTAGAACATCTTGTACATTTTTGTACCAAGAAAACTAATATCTCCTAAATTTTGAAAAAAAATGGGTCTCTATTTAAAATTATAAAGTTGAATATAGCCTAAAATATATGTAGTATACAGGGTGTTCGTTTTTCGAGCTCCACCATGGGGATCTCAGTTATTATAAGAGATACGAGGTATGTTAAATTTGGGAAAAGTTGCACATTTTTATGCTGAACAATAATCTGAAAGAAAATTTAATGTGGCATATTTAGTTTTTGAATTATTGGAAAAAAACGTAAACTTGTAATTTTCTTAAGGCACTTTCTTACAAGGAATCTAAATCTGTCGTCGTATTTTCCAAGGCGCTCTTGATGTCAGAGTTACAACACTCAACTTTAGATTTTCTTATGGACGCCATATTAGATTTCTGTATTTTTGAAAAGTCTTTTTGTTCCTGATTACAACGATGTATCACACGATATGATCAAATTTTACATGCTGATCAAAATTAAAAAAGCGTTTTTGCGAAGAGTGCTTTGGAAAAAATGCCACCAATTTTAATTAACAAACTAAATTTTGAAGCCATTATTGTAATGTTAAAAAGCAGCAACTGAAAGAAAATATTGCCAATATTTTTTCAAGTTTTTAATAAGAAGACACGAATAATTACCTATAACAAATCAAAAAAACATATAATTTAGTGTTTTTAATTTATTTTGTTGTTATTCTAATAAGATTATTGCTAACGTCAATTTTTTTATTAACACCGTGCAAGTAAATTTTATAATTTTGTTTTCAACTTTAAATAATTTTTTTTAAACAATAATTTTTAGTAAAAGTAGAACATATTGCATATTTGTACCATGAAAACTAACATCTTCCAAATTTTGAAAAAAAAATTGGGTCCCTATTTAAAACTAGAAAGTTGAATATAGCCTAAAATATAGGGTGTGTCAGAACTCGCGCCCCAGAGAAAAAATTTAAGTAAGATAAGATACCGGGAGCATGGAAAAAATGTTTAAAAAAAACACAAATGAAAATGCGGTTTTTTAAAAATCACCCTGTATATAGTATGTTTTAAAGCTTTTATGCTCCACTTTTAACATTTATTTGAATTGTTATTGAATTTAAATTAGAGAAAAACTGCTGTTTTGACCGCTGCGCCACCTCGCCCCGGTCAGTATCTCTGTTCTAATAATTAAAAAAAAATATATTTTTCGCGTTTCTTTTCAACGTTTTATGCGTTTTTTAAGTTTCTTGAACTCGATAGAAGTGTCTTTAGGTTAATTTTAAAATTTTTATATTTTTTGGTCTTTTGTTGTACAATTACGGAATTCTGGATATTAAATTTATGTCAATTTAAAAAATAACAATATAAACCACACTTTATTGTCGTTATGATTGAAATGTATTTTTGGCGTCGATTTTTCGATACAATAATGCCAGCAGTATACATATATTTTTTCATATAGTTCAATAGATCATTTTGACTTGTTGTCATTTTTTCTTTAGTTGTTAGGATAAAAATTACAAAAATCTAAAGTGAGGTTTTTTTAACATTTATTTGAAATAGAGAAAAATTGTTGCTTGCTTTGACTGGGGTTTGAGCTTTGTCTCTGCTCTCTCATTCAGCCATAAAATTTTTCAAAAATTTATTTCACGCCATTATACATTTTCATGTGAATTCTAAACCTCTAAAAGTTTTTAATTTTTTCGATTTTTGTCAAAATTTTGGGCACCTTTGCCATGTCAAACAAGTTATTAAGTTGAGTTTTTTTTCATTCTCTAAGTTGGGATTTTGAAAGGTGGTTTATTTTGTGAAAAAATTCGTTTTTGAAGATATGTGCCGTACCCTGGGGGTGGTGAAAAATGGGGCGGTAATGGCGTAGGCGACGATTTATACTCTTATGGCTTCGATGGTGTTTATCTCTGGTCAGGAGGACGCTCAACCCAAGTCGTCACCACTTTCACGACACCATTTATTAAGAAAAGTAAGGTTCCCCATTTTTGTGTCACAAATAAAAAGGAAAAATTTTAGGCGACGTGGTTGGCTGTGCCTTAGATTTAACTGTTCCAATCATTACTTTTACATTCAATGGTGTGCCAATTAAAGGAAGTTTTCGAAATTTCAACTTGGACGGAATGTTTTTCCCTGTCATTAGTTGTTCGTCGAAACTTAGGTAATTAATTAATTAATTATTATTCTCCCACTAATCTAATGTTGTATATTTTTTTAGTTGTCGATTTCTACTAGGTGGTGATCACGGCCGTTTAAAATATATCCCTCCGGAGGAATTTTCACCACTAGTTGAAAGTCTGCTCCCTCAACAAATCCTAAACCTTGAACCCTGTTTTTACTTCGGTAACATGAACAAAAATGTCATTGCTGGTCCTTTGACTGTTGAAGACGACACAGCTTTTGTACCTAACCCCGTAGACACGTCCATGGTTAGTTTAGCGAGTTATGTTGAGTCAATTCGGGACAAATTAGCGGAAAATATCCACGAAATGTGGGCAATGAACAAGATCGAAGCTGGCTGGCAATGGGGGGAGTACAGGGACGACTTGAGACACATTCACCCCTGTTTGGTGCCTTTCGATAAATTACCACCAGCTGAGAAAAAATACGACTCGCAATTGGCCGTTCAAACCTTGAAGTAAGTAACAAATAATATATTATATGACAAGGTAGAGAAGAGTTTTTTATAGCCGAGCTGTTTATTTAATAATAAATGCGAGGCTATAAAAAGCTTCTCTACGTGTTTTATATGATATTTTTTTCACTACTAGCACATTTATTATCCAGAAATACAACGGTGAAAATATAACCCTACTTAATGGACAAGTTGACTCAGACATAACATGTCGTAATTTACAGTAATTAATTACATACGGATACCTAAAGACTAGGATACGACACGATGTAAAACAAAACGTCCCCGTTTTCGATAGTTCGGTTAGTGAGGCGAGATAGCGCAGTTGTTCCTTTCCCGTTTAAGTTTTAAGAGCAAAGAAATAAAAAAATGGTTTCATTTACATTACAATGAGCAAAGCGCAAATAAAAAAATATAGACCGATAAAACATTAAATTCTCAATAATAAGAGATAAAGGCAATGCAAAAATTTTGTTGAAAAGTATATTTAAAAAATTTCAAACATTTAGCAATTTGTATTTTTGAAAATACTGCGAATACGATTAAAGATACAAGAAAAATATAAAAAAGAAAGTTGTGAAGAATAGAATTTTCAAGAAAAAAGTCCGCGAGAGTTAATGGTTTAGGTCCTGAAGACGCTCAAGTGACGAATACGTGTCATTTTAACCGGTGGTCAAGAGACAGAAAATTAATTTAAACCTAAACAGTTGAAGATAGAGATATGGTCTTTCAGACTTTTGTGTAGGAAATTTAATTCTCTACAACTTTGTTCCCTACACTTTATTGTATCTTCAACCGTTCTCAAAAATATCGTAAACAGTATTAAAATTAAATTATAAACAAGTATCAGTTTGCGTTCCGCCCAATATTTTTGAGAACGCTGCTAATACGGTTCAAGATAAAAAAAAAAGCGTAAGAAACAAAAGTGTAGAGAATAAAATTTGCTCCAAAAAATTCCCGAGACCATATTTCTATCTTCAATGGTTTAGGTTTAAATTGCTTTAAAGTGTTCCTCTGGCACTTATTCTCTAATTTTTCGTTCGTGAACGATTTCGTTAATGAATGAATGGGTTTCAACGAATGTAGTAACGACATGTTTGAATTTCGTATTCCGAAACCTTATCGTTAAGGGAACAATCTTTCACATTTTCTCATAAACAAAAAGTCAATGTTTTTCATTCTTTAGTATTTATTCAAAAAGGTCATTAATGTCACAATGTAAGTTTATTAAAGTTTGAAAGGGTTTGTATCGACAAAAAGAAGAAGAAATCTTAAACAACGATTCAACAATTTGAGCTACATTTGAGAAACCCATTGCTCTATAAAAATCAATAATAAATTTAATACTTGCGGTGGTCCTGCAAAAGACAAGAAGATGAGTTTCAACCACACACTCCATTAACTACCTAACTTGGACTATGGGTGATGTACTAGTGATACATTGTCCATTTTTCAAAAAAAACTTGAATTTTAAGAAAAAAAATCATGTGCTAGAGTTCTTGTAAATCTAAACACCCTTCAAAATAATTATTCAAACGTATTAAAAGGATTGTTAGCGGCTTTTAATTTTTTTATTAGCTGCTTGTACATACATACGTACATTTATGTAAAATGAATACGAGTATGTTTTAAATTTTTATAATAGAAAAATCAACAATATAATAATAAAGCAATAATTACTTTCTTTTCAATTCTACGAGAAAATAATCCAAAATATGACCCATAAAAACATAAAAACTCATAAATCACCAAAATATTAATTCATTGAGTCAACGACAACCGATTGAGCTCTCGTTCGTCAACGACAAATTTTAACGAAATTATCGGTAGTCAACGAAAGTAGTTTATTACAGAATACGAAAATTCGTTTACCAACGAAAATCGTTCACTAACAATATCGTTCAGAGTTAAAGAATAAGGGTCTAAATCACTAAAAATGAAACGAGTCCGTCGCTTGAGCGGCTTTGAACGTCTTTGAGGCCTAAACTGTTAAGATAGAGGTATGGTCTTGTGGACTTTCTACTAGAAAATTTTTTTCTCTACAACTTTCTTTCTTACCTTTTTCTTGCATCTTCAACCCTATTCGCAGCATTTTGAAAAACATGAAACGGGGCACAGATTTTAAATTTTAAATATTTTTTTCACATATTTCTCGTGAAAAATTTAGTCATTCGTTTTTCACAGCTTATTAAGAATGTAAAGCTCAACATTTTAGCAAATTTTTCCAAGCAATTAGTAAACTGGTTGAATTTAAATTAATTTAAAACGATTTGAAACTGGTAAAACGCTCTAACCGCCCTCATTTTTACTCCACCGTATTACTTTTTGGGTCCAAAAAATCGAACAATTTTGTAACGCTTTTCGTCTTAGTATATAGTTCTCCGTATTATTAACTTAAACTATAAATATTATTTTATTCTGATCATAAATGAGGTTATTTCATTTTTGTATTTCTACAACTATTAAAGGAATTTTCTAACTTTGTAATATGATATATTTATTAAAATAACAAAGAAACTGTAAAGATAAGGGAAAAAGTGTTTTTGAGAGTTTTGACATAGACAGAAGCATTAAAGTTGGGGTTATTCTCATGTTTTTAATGAGGAAATTGAAGATTTTTTATTAGATTTTGCATTCATCTCTAAATACTTCCGTTAGTACTTGTGATGGTAATAGTTTTCAATAATAATACCGGGTGCGGCATCGGTTACGCCCATTGATAAATCGCGACTTCTAATTAATTAAAACTGGCGATATTTCATATACCTAACTAATTATTGATAGGGTGTAAATTTGAGATTTTTCTAATTTTTTTTGATAATAAATGAGTCCGTAACAGTTTTGTGTGTTTTATGAATACTTTCTGTTAATTTACCTATAAAGTTTTTACACTAAATGAATCTGTACCTGTAACTTTGATATCACAATTTCAAATTTTGACTTGGTTAGCCAAATAATCGCTTTTTTTATTTAAACACAAACCAGACCCGTGATTTATGACAAAATGGTATAATTTGCCAACAAAAGAATCATTTACTGGTATTTGACCGCTTTGAAGGGTCTTTTTGTTGTAAACCTTGTAATCTTACCCCAATTGCAGTTCTCCATTGTCACCTAAATTTACGATGGCACAAGTAGCAGGTCATAAATAAAAATTATTTTCAAAGTTAAGATGGAAAATTGCGTTTAATTCAAAATCTAATTGGTGATTTTGTAAACAATTGTAGGAAGTGAATCTGCGTAGGTCAGTATAAAAATTAGAATTAAATTTTTTGGGAGAAAATTACTTTTTATTTTTTTTTGGCTTTGTTTGTGAATGAAAAATTACCAAAAAATTAGAGAATGTACCTTACTAATGCCCAGGTAAGGGTAAAAAAATTCAACAATTTTATTTAGTTAGAAGTGGGGATTTTCTTTCTGGGCGTAACGGATGCCGCACCCGGTATTCTAGAAATATTTGTATATCAATGTAATACCCTCTAACATCCCCATTTACCCACCTCTAATACATTATATCCCTTGGTCTATAATGAAAACGATTATTGACTACTAGGAGAGAAAAACAACTTCACAACCTCTCACAAACTAAATAATATCTTGTACAGCTAGTAGTGAAAAAACAATTTTTCGTTTCATTTTTCAAATTTATGTATTTTAGAACAATCATAGCCCTTGGTTATCACATAACTATGGATAAGCCCCCATCACGGATTAAAACAGTCCGGCTTCCAAACGAACCTTTCATGCAATCAAACGGCTATAAGCCGGCCCCTCTTGACCTAAGTGCGATAACCCTGACCCCAAAACTGGAAGAACTCGTTGACCAATTGGCCGAAAATACTCATAATCTTTGGGCGAAAGAGAGGATCCAACAAGGTTGGACTTATGGACTCAATGAGGATCCTGACATGTTCCGAAGTCCACATCTCGTGCCTTACATCAAAGTTGATGATGCCATCAAGAAAGCCAATAGGGATACAGCATCTGAGACAGTTCGTACTTTGCTTGTATATGGATATAATTTGGATCCGCCCACTGGTGAACAACATGAAGCCTTATTGGCTGAAGCTAGTAGGTCGAGACAAGCCATATTCAGGACTTACAGAGCTGAGAAAACTTATGCGGTCAGTTCGGGGAAATGGTATTTTGAGTTTGAGATTCTTACAGCAGGACCGATGAGAGTTGGATGGGCCAAGGCTGATTGTGCGCCGGGGTGTATGTTGGGGTCGGATGAGAATACGTGGGCCTTTGATGGATACAATGTAAGTCTTTTTCCCGAAAGTGCAAAAAAATGTGACTTGTAATTTTCTCTTTGGGATATTATGAAAATTTCCGATTGGCATTTCAAAGCTGCCATTCAAAACACGAGACAAGAATGTAGAAAGTTTTTTATTAGTTCAAATTTTTCCTAAAAGTAGCCTGAAAACTGCTGTTTCATTTCAAGGAGTTAACAAAAGCATTGTTTTTTAAGGGATCTTCGCTATGATAAGTTTCTTTATTAGGTACTCTCTGTTTTTTTTATATCTAGGTAGATTATATATACAAAGTGGTTCAAAAGTGTCGCACCAATTCTCGAATGGTGATAAAAGATTTTCAGCTAAGCATCAAAATGAATTCAGATTTTTTTCAATTCTTTTTTGAGAAAAAACAGAACTGTCAATTTCTGTATTATCATGTTGTTTCCGATGTTGACGGATTTAATTTATTGTTGAATTTGCTTATTTGTTAAATGTTTTGTACACGATGAAACACAAATTGGTGATTTTTTTTCAACAATGTTGCAAGATCTGTCGTTTTTGCTAATTAATTTCAAAAATATACAGGTTGTTCCGGCTAAACCCCACATTAGAAGTTTTGGAAGTTTCCTAAACGTAACCTTACATTTTGGCGGTTTGTTAATTATCTTTCTAATTATAAATACATCAAAAGAATATACCCAAATACGGTTTCAACAAAATAAAAAAATGGCAGAGTTATAGATTTTTGAATAGAAAGATTTAAATCCAAAAAGGTTTAAATATTTCGAAAACGGTTAAACTTCGGTATGGGAAAGGCTAACGAAAAGCAGGACCTAAACGATTATGGCTATAATCAAAGTTTTAGATAAATATCACTGTTAGAACTCCCAACAGTTCTAATGTGGGGTTTAGGCGGAACATCCTGTATAATCTGAACAGCCAAAATCTTATCTTTGAAGACCTATATCTCGTGAAAGAAGACTCAAACATTTTTTTGTCATGGGAACTTTTAACTTAGTTGGATGTTTCTTATCACCACTCAAGAGATGGTCCGATACTTTTGAATCGCGTTGTATAAAAAGGCTCCCCTTATACTGTTTTACTGTCCAGAAATTATTTTTCGAAAATGTCTTGAAGATTTTAGAGAATTTTTAGAAAAAATAGTGAAAAAAAGTTGTTATTTTGAGTTTTATAAATCGCAAATTACAAAACAAGGTAGGTAAGGCCTCATGAAGCCAAATGATCAAACAATTTGGCCGAGTGTTTTCTTTCTTTCATAATCACAAAAAAATGGCAGAACCGCAGTGTTTTTTGCAATTTTTGCATAAATTACTACTCCTTATTAATTAGTTTTTGGGACCTGTGACAATAGTTGGTTATATTTTGACATTTATTATTATTTTAATTTTTTTACGTAAATAATATGCAACTACCGAAATATACTCAGTTAATATTTTTACAGGAATTAAAGAAGAATTCTGCAAAAAAATCACAAACTAATTAATATTTGTAGAATGAAATTTGAAAATAAATAATAATTTAAAAATTATTCTAACAATTGTCCACTTAAATTAAAAAATAATCTTTTAATTAGAAAAACGTAGGTAACCTTTTTAGAAATTTTAACTCGCTCCTTACTTGCATTGACTCGAGGGGCCGTTAACTTAAAAAATTGTATAGATAATTGCAATGTCAAAAAAAATTACCAAAATTCTATAGTAATTCTAATAATTCGTTGTAATTTCTTTGTTTTCAGATTAATTCTAATGATTGCAAATTAATTCCGATAGTTCTAAGAAATTCAACGGAAGTTTTAAAAGAAAAATTATCTCCGATAATTTCAAAAAGAATTCTAGAATTCAAAAATAATTCCAAACAATCCGACGATAATTTTAACAATCCCAAATAGTCTCTAGCAATTTCGATTAAACTCTAAAAATTTGTACAGCTAAAGCCTGTCGTATTGTTTTGAATTAGAAACAAAAATATCATCTCATTAAGTAATTAATAAATTCTTTCAACATAATTAAACTTATCGAAAATAGATGTGAATCTTCCTATGTTTGATTTTTTATACTAAAAAGCTAAGTTACGTTAAAAGTGAAAATTGTCAACAATTTTCGAAAATTCAGTATATAATTCAAGTAAATACGTATAAGTACCCCTTTTTCTCTCTTACCTCATTTTATAACTTCATGCTCATATTTCAATGTTGTTAGTATCTTTTTTATAGAATTATTTTTAATATTTAAGGTACGAGAAGGACATAAAATTTGTAGTATTTGCAATTTGTTTTTGGAATAGAAAAAATAAGTCTTATATTCTTTTTCGAAAAATTCGTATTACACCAGGATAATAATTTAAAATAGTTTAAAGGTTCAATTTTTAGCTGACAAACTTCTAGAATTTTTTTTTATACACATTTTCACTTAGGTAGCCATATTAGTATGGCTATTTTTTGTTTAAAACACATGAAACGAGTTTATCTTATAAAAGAATAATAAAAAAATAAAAAAAATAAATTAGTTTGCGTTAAAACATTTTCAAAATAAAACCTTTGAAGTTAATTTTATTTTAGGTGATGGTATTACGTTTATTCTACAGGGTGTCCCTGNAAATAATATTTGCAAATTGTAAAATGAAAAACTAAAAAAATAAAAAGTTTCCCGAATTAAAAAAAGTATTTTTGTAACTAATGAAATGTATGTACGTTTTTTCCATTTTTGCTTATTTTTCACGAAACAGATGAAAAAAATGCACGGTGGTACCAGCGAAACGTTCGGTATCAAATACATAGTCGGCGATGTTGTAGGCTGTTTTATTGATCTTATCGATGGTATAATTAGTAAGTTTTCTGCAATTTGATTCTGTGAAGTCACTTATATGTTTCTAACTCAACTCACCGTCGTTTTATTAGGAAGAAAAAGTGTATAGCAATTCGGCCGAGTCTTTCGGAAAACAGTGGCAAGTTGGGGACGTAGTTGGCGTATTCCTTGACCTAATCGATCATACAATTAGTAAGAAAACTATTAAAGCCATTTTCGCTTCTTAGATAACTTTAGTTGTTTTTTTATTAAGCCACTTTATTGGAAAATAGCAGCTTTTTTCTTCCGCTAGTTTTATTACTAATCAAACTTATATTTTAATCAAAAGAAATTAACAAAAATAAAACTAACGAATTTTAGGTTTTTCACTAAATGGTGAATTGTTAATGGACGCGTTGGGTGGCGAAACCACCTTCGCTGATGTACAAGGGGACAATTTTGTCCCAGCTTTTACTCTAGGTGTGGGTCAGAAAGCTCGACTTTGCTTCGGACAAGATGTAACCCAGTTAAAGTATTTCACCATGTGTGGGCTACAAGAAGGGTACGAGCCATTCTGTGTGTAAGTTTCAGTAGAAAAAACTTTCACACAGTTGAATCGTGATTTTTAGTAATATGAAACGACCTGTCACCTATTGGTACACTAAAGATCAGCCAATATTTGAAAATACTGATGATATGCCTGATACGAAAATTGACGTTACGAGAATTCTAGCCGGTTCAGATAGTCCTCCGTGTCTTAAGATCAGTCACAACACGTTTGAGACGATGGAAAAGGCCAATTGGGAGTTTTTGAGACTTAGTTTGCCAGTTATTTGCCACTCAACTTTTATTTCGTGAGTTGACAAAATTGGAGATTTGTGGAAGTGTTATTTTTTTATTTACAGTGAAGATGAAAAAATGAGGCGTTGGCAAGAAATTAAAATCAGACAACATAGACTCAAGGCTGAAGCCGAGTCGAATATTTCTCCAGCACATATTGAGCAAATGATGATGAAGAGTGGATTCTCCATGAGTGACATCAAAGGTAATTTTCACATTTTTTATCTTCCGTTTCTTAAATTTATTTATTTTCAAAGCTGTTTGGCATTTTGACATACTGTTTCATAGATTGATTTTTTTGGAAAAAATTCCATTTTTTTAGTATTTAGCTTTTTTTAATTTTTATAATAATTATGTTTTCAACGTTTTTTTTTTAATTCAGTAAGTACATAAAGTAGTATAATTTTTGTGAAATTAATTGGGACAGTTTAGCATTTGTTAAAATACATTTTTTTTAATCGGTTGGAATTTGCTCAAATTGCATTATTATTATTTTTTTATTATTTTGTAGAAATACATTATTCATTTTGATTTCTGGCTTAAAATTGAGCACATTTTGGCCTAAAATTGGAATTTAAGCAATATTTTTTATAAAATACATTGATTTAGAACGAATTCTGGCTTGAAATCCAGCAAAAATTTATTAGAAGTGGCTCAAATTGCTTTATTTGGGCCGAAAATTAGGATTTAAGCATTTATTTTGTTGAAATACATTGATTCAGGTTGATTTCTGGCTTAAAATTGAGCACATTTTGGCCTAAAATTGGAATTTAGGCAATTATTTTTTATAAAATACGTTGTTTTATTTTGGCAGAAAATTAGGATTTAAGCATTTATTTTGTTAAAATACATTGATTTAGAATGATTGGATTGATTAATTTCTGATTGAATGATTGGTTGGAGTTTACTCAAATTGCTTTATTTTGGCCAAAAATTAGGATGTAAGCATTTATTTTGTTGAAATACATATGATTTAGGTTGATTTTTGGCTTAAAATCGAGCCATATCCATTGGAAATATTACAAATTGCTTCATTTGGCCTACAATGACTTTTTAAGAAGCAATTATTTTGTTAAATTAGGCTAATTTAGAATGATTTCTGTTATAAAATCTAGCAAAATTGGATTGAAAATAGCTGAAATCGCTTTATTTTGGCAGAAAATTGGGACTTAAGCAATTATTTTGTTGAAATACATTGATTTAGAATGAGTTCTGACTTGAAAGCAAGCAAAAATCTATTAGAAGTGGCTCAAATTGCTTTATTTTAGCAGAAAATTAAGATTTAAGCATTTATTTTGTCAAAATCCATTGATTTAGAATGATTTCTGGGATAAAATGGAGCAAAAATCTATTAAAAGTTGCTCAAATCGCTTTATTTTTTCAGAAAACTATGATTTAAGCATTTATTTTGTTAAGATACATTGATTTAGAATTATTTTTGTTACAAAATCTAGTAAAATTGGATTGGAAATAGCTCACGGGGCTTTAGTTTGGCAGTAAACTGAAATCTAAGCATTTATTTTAATGAAGTACTTACAGTGATTTATAATAATTTCTGGATTCAAGTCGAACAAAAAACTATTAGAAGTAGCTCAAATCTTTTTATTTTGACAAAAATAATATATAATATAATAAAAAATTTGTAATTGTATTTATTTTAGAAAGCTCAGCATATGTAATACTTAAGAAAAAGGAAAATAATTTTTAGTTTTGAACTTTGAGAAACAAATTTTCCCCTTTAAGTTTGAAAATATTGGAATAAATTTTTGCAGATTTGTTGCATTTTCGATAAGAAAAACTTGGTTTAGATACAATCGTTATTTCTATACTTCAGATCAATAAAACTTCAATTTGAAAATTTGTTCCAGAACTACCACAGTTTTGACCAGGTTTTCAGAAAAATTTACATTTTCGTGTTACTGACATATTTATTTTTTTGAAAACAAAAATTGTTTCATTGATTTAATTAAACTTTTTCTAAATCTAAATCAATTTTCGTCACACCATTGTGCGAATATTTTTGGAATTTTCAATTAGGGAATTAAGTTTTTGTTTTTCAAATTTTAGGCCTACATCGCAATTATTCTGAAGACGCTGTCGAATCAGACGAAGTGATGAAACACCACGGCAAATCCACTAAAAGCATGCCTGCTAGACCACCTCGAAAAGGCTCACTTTCCCGTAACGTCAACGGTTTTGAAGACAACAGTAAAATTATTCTCCTTTTTTAATCCCTTCTCATAAAATTTTTCTAGTGTTGAACACAAACACTGGTAGAGGCGTCCATCGCTCCACTAGCGAATTAAACCTCAACAGATACCATGACATGGCCCCAGCAAATCAAGAAAAACCCGATGAAAAGAAAAAACGAGGACGATCACCTTTCAGGTGGGTCAAAAATTCAGCGTTTCATTTTTTCGAAATTAATTTAAATTGTCATTTTTGCATTTTTAAGCAGTGCTGCTGTACAAAGGTAATCATAAACATGTTGAGCATTTAACGAATAGAACTCACGGAGCTTTCACTCGATGTTTGCATGTAAATGGTCAAAGGTCAAACTTTATCTCCTGTTTTTATTTTAGATTTTTCTCGAGAAAGAAAGCCGGGAATTCCCCCGGAGGTGAGTCTGTTAAAGCAGACAAATCGAAAACACCGGAACGGGAAAAGGAACGAATTAAGGTGCCGACACGGCAAGCTGGGGTGTCCCCGTCAATGCTCACAAGGAGTCCAACAATAAAACAATCACAAGTACGTAAAACTCTTTTTTTATTTTTTTTAAACTGCTTTGATTTAAAAATTTCAAGATTTATTTTTAAATTGTTTTGTAGCTTCTACAAATTTTGAAAAGAATTGGAAAAATAATACAATTTATCTAAATCGCGCACTACTAAATGTCTATTAAGCACTCGAAAATACACGACACGCACTTACTGGTCAGTGGAGTTTCTGAAATAAAACAAAAATTAACCATTTAGTCTTGAACAAAATTAAATTCGTATGTACAATACTAATGGTGGATTTATGCTTCTATATTTAAGATTTATCATTTACAATTTTATTTAAGAATTAACGGATTTGACATTTTATTAAATTTTCGAATTTATACTTCTAAATTATCCAAAAAATACTTAATTTATGGATACACCGATGTAAATCTCGTTTTTTATACAAACATTTGTTAAATTAATGACGATTCGTAACAATCCATAAACTATATTCTCTAACAGTTTCGACGAGTGCAGCATCTTTCATATTAATTCTTATTATTTCAAAGAAAAGTTTTACTTTTTAAGTGTGATTAATGTCAGTAATGACAATTTATCAATTTGTCAATTTTTTTATTGCAGATGTTAAACTAGTTCTTTATCAACTCTTTTGAGTAGATAAAGTAGCACCTTAACCGCAAGGGTAGATAAAGTAACGCTTTAACAGGAAGGGCAGATAAAATGTTTTAACTTATTTTATTCATTTAAATTTATAATTTTTATCATCCACGAGGTGGAATAAAGCGTCCGATATACGCTCAAATCTTTTTTTTTCTCTTAAATTTTAAGTCCTGCTATAGAAAAAAATGTTGTATATACACGACCATAAAAATTGTTTATCGTCTTGTATAATAAATAACTATTATTTGTCATTTAATGTAAAAAGTTAAAAGTTGGTCTTGTATAATAAATAACTATTATTTGTCATTTAATGTAAAAAGTTAAAAGTTGGAAACTTTAAATAAAATTAAATCTGAAACAGTAAAGCTTAAATGTTAAACGATAGTATAAACGTTACCATTGAAAATGCATAATTGATCTTCTTAAATAATAAATCTTAAATATGGAAGCATAAATCTTGTTCTTGCCGATGTTTCTCTAATAATAAAGTTTAAGTTCTTGGTTAAAATTGTTATAAAAATAAAATTGCACTCGTCTTCTACAAATTTTGAAAAAGAATTTGAGAAATAATACTTTTTATGTAAAACACAATTAATTTTTATTCATACTTTAATTAATCCTTACTGCTGCACTCAAAAATGACAAATTCACACACTTCACTTTACAATAAAAATAAAAAATTTAAAATAAAATTTCAGAAACAATACATCTTATCTAAAATACAATTAGTTTTCATTCGTAATTTAATAAATACTTACTATTACACTCAAAAATCACAAGTTCACTTCACTTTGCAATAAACAAAAAATAAAAAAACAAAATGTACTGAACTTTATGGCATCTTCTTTTGCTACCCTTTGTAGCAATTCGCCTCTGCTACTGAAACCTACTGAAAATAAAGAAATACAAAATCATTTCAATGTTATTAAATCAGTTGAAAATATTAAATAAAATTTAAAAAATATAGGTTTTCAGTATTGACTTACCCTTTAACCGGACCCTTGTAGCACGATTGTCTTCTTCATTTCCCCATTGGCACTCACTAATTACTCGAAATTTTGAAAATCGCGCACTAATAAATGTCTATTAGGCACCCGAAAATATCCAACACGCACGCACGCACGCACTAATAATACAGCTCCCATTTCTACACAATTTTGCACTGAACCACGAAATAATAAGTAATAATTTATTCGGAGAAGTGATTCGTACGGGAGCTTGGCTAAGACTGACTTGTTATTGTAATGATTTCCTCAAAAACGACCCAAAAATCATTTCGTAACAGTTCCGGGGTAAAAGGCTGCAAAACAAACACCATTTTTTGCACCCTTACTCAAGAAACCGATTCGCCTGAAATGACGTCAAGATGTTTACATCTGATTGGTTACGGGTGCAAACACGAAATTAAGTCAATCAAATCTTTCAAATTTTTGAGATTCATCCAAACAGATTAGGCGATAATTGAGCAAATTTGTCTTTGTGCTAAATGTGTGCTGTCGTCGATCTAAAACCAAAAAGTAAAAACACTTACTTCAGAAAAAAGATATAAAGTATGCTTCTAAGATGTTTTTTTTTCTGAAATCAACAAAATAAAACAAACAATTTTTATTATGACCCGTCAAAAGAAGAGACTAACACAAAAGAAGAATTAAAATAAAAAATTAAATATTAATAGTAATAAAATAATAATAAGTCCGTACTGAGTGACCTTGTCGAAACAGGAATAGTATACAATATAACAATAATTTGAGGCAATATTGCAAATTCCATAAGTTAAAACAGTGCAGTCAATAGGGTTTCCTGAAGTAAGAGAAAGACAAACTATAGAGCGACAAATCGAAACAATTTTTTCTGTCTTTCTTCCTCTTAATGTTTGTATATCTATTACTCTCCATGGAATTTTATATTTATCTATTCCAAAGATAAATTCTCTATTAATTTAAGTAATAATTTTATTTGTTTTTCAGTTTTAGTTTTATTGTGTTTTCAATTAAACCTATAACCAGAAGAATTTAAAGTATAGTGAATACCCCTCTTAGTTTGAATTGGATCTGTTTTTAAATTATTGTTTTCTAATACTAAATGTTAAGTAGTTTTTCAAAAGTTCATAATAATTCAGGAATGAAATTAAATTTAGTTGTATTTTGTATATTCTCAAAATTTTAATTAACCAGAAGTGGGGAAGTGGGAATCATAAACATTTATTATTTTTTTAGAGTGATTTAATGCAAGTCCCGACCGCCGCTACAGGCCAACAGAAACAACTTTCAGTACCTCATACTTCCGATGTTGAAGCCGTTGGTGATGAATTGTTTGATGGAGAGTGTCTTAAACTTATCAACGAATATTTCTATGGTACCTTCTTTGTATCTTTCTGTGGTTTAAAATCGAAATAATTTTTTTAAAGGTGTTCGAATTTTCCCGGGTCAAGACCCGACTCATGTGTATGTGGGATGGGTCACCACCCAATACCATCGCCATACGAAAGATTTCAATCAAAATCAAGTGCGGAAAAGCTCGATTGTTATCCTCGACGATTATGACCGAGTGGTTGAATGGTAAGTCGCAATTTGTGACACTTGGAGGAGTGTTTGAATGTTTTTTTTTTCTATTTTGCGTCTGAAAGAAAGCTTATTTCGATACCAAAATCGATGCTTTAATGAGCCATTTCAACACCGATTCGGGTGTTGTAATAGACTAGTACAATTTACATTCTAGAGGTTGGTAATGGTGATTTTCAGCGGCGTTTTGAGAGATTTCTTTTGACTGAAATTGACGTTATTTTTCTCGTTTTTATGTATTTTTTTGTAATTTCGTCAAAACTGGTCAAAAATAATCAAATTATTACAAAATGAATGCTATTTTGGTCTATTTCGAGGGATTTAGCTTTTTTTGGGCAAGTAACCCACGTATTTTGTGAAATTTTGTCCAAACAACACGAAGAAGTACTAAATCTGATCGAAATTTGGCTCATTTTTGTCCGGTTCCAACGATTTTATGTGAAGAAATCTCTTTTTTTATGGAATTTCGTCAAAAAATGACTACATTTGATCAATTTTTACTTAGTCTTGTCAAAACCGCCTTTAAATAGCTAAATTGGATGACAATTGATGCTATTTTGACTATTTAGCTTGTTTTTGAACGAGAAACTAATTTATTTTGTGAGATTTCGCCTAAACAAGACAAAAAAATTCAAAATTTTTAGTAAAAAAACTTTCTTATTTCATGAAATTTCGTCAAATCAATTCGAAAAATGACCAACTTATTATAAATTTGATGCTTTTTTGAGGGATCTGACATGTTTTTGAACGAGGAACTTTTTTTTCTTTGTTTGTTCAACTTGAACTTTGTTCAAACTAGACGAAAAATCACCAAATTTGATCGAAATTGACCTTATTTTTGTCAAGTGAGAAAGTAGGTATCTTATTTACTTATAATTTTGTCAAAAAATATCAAAATTATTTTAAAATTGTAGCTATTTTAGCCTGTTTCGAGGGATTTAGCTTTCTCTGAGTGAGAAACTCAGTTATTTCGAGAGATTTCATTCATACAAGACGAAAAATCACCAAATTTTATCGAAATTGAAGTCATTTTGGTCTATTTCGAGCAATTTACTCCATTTTTGAGTAAAAATTTTTCTTATTTTATATAATTTCGTCAAAACAATTTGGAAAATTACCAAATTATTTTAAAATTGATGCTGTTTTAAGAGATTTAGTCTGTTTTTGAGCGAAAAACTCATTTATTTCGTGCGATTTTGTTTAACTAAGACAAAAAACACAAACAATTTTTGAAATTGGACTCATTTTGGTCTGTTTAGAGCAATTTATCCAGCTTTTGACTAAAAGACTCATTTTATTTGATAATATTGACGTTATTATGGGGGATTTACCTTGTTTTTGAGCGAGGAACTTTTTTTCGTGAGATTTCGTTCAAAACCAAACCAAATTTGATCCAAATTGCTGCTATTTTTATCTGTTTCAAACGATTTACAGTTTTTGTGTGAAAAACTCTCTTATTTTAAGTGATTTCGTCGGAAAATAACCAAATCATTTCAAAATTGACGTTATTTTGGCCACCAAATTCTAAATTTCAATAATCAAAATTAGACTTGAACTAATTTATTTTACTTTGTGTCCGTATTTAGTAATTTATTGCACACGAAAATATTATTTTGAGGTTTTATTTGTTTTAAAACCATGTTGGTTACGCAAAGAGATAAAAAGCTTTAATTTGACTTTTCAATTATAAATTGAAAATTTATTAAGTCATTCTAATAAGTTTGTTCAGTATTACTTATTCAAACCCTTTCTTGTTTTAACTATTAAATTTCGCTGGAATTTAAGTCAAAACGAAAAAAATTAGTTTCGAATGAGAAGTAAGTAAGATAAGATAAGATACAAGGAACATTAAAAAAATGTTTTATTATTCATTTTCAAATGTGAAAATAAGAATTATTTTTATTTTTGACAGCCGCCTAAAATTATTCTACATAAATGTCGCCAACCGTCGCAAAATTCTCTAGAAAAAAAATTCGTGTTTTAATTTATAAAATGATAATGCGACAAAATAGAAAAAATAGTTTAAAGCACTTGTTGCAGAAGGTTCTTCAAGGACTCATTTGTTCCTCAACTCGCCGCTACGCGGCTCGTTGCGGAATTTCAACTTTGTGCTTCTGCAACTTGTACTTTAATATACTGTTCTAATGTTCCTAGTACCTTAATCAATTACAAAAAACCCTGTAGAGTGATAAAAAAAAATGATTTTCACACAATGATATTCTGTGTATTATTTTTTTTTCAGACCGAGGGAGTACAAGTTTAAAATATCTGTTTATGTAGGGTTTGAAAAGACAGGATTCAGGTGGTGTGCATGAAATATTTGCAGTATTCATTGTTAATTTTGAAAAATATTTGAGATTTACTTCGAAAATCGAATTTTTCAAACTTTGTGACATTTATTACCAAACACCACCTTATTAGGGCAAAAGTTCCTAAATTAAAAAAAATAACTTTTATGTTAAAAAAGTACGTAAAACGCCCAAAATAGAAAAAATAGCATAAAAAAACTTGCTTCATAAGTCATTTGTGGGAACTCGTTCTTTATAAAACTCGCGCTTTGCTGCTCGATCCACAAAACTTGCCTTAGTAAATGCCTTCTTTAATACATTATTTTAGTGTTGATCGCCAAGCCTGCTACATGGTACGCGCCGACGAGCTCTACAATCAAGTAACTCAAGATGCTTCAGGTAAAGGAGCATCACAAGGCATGTTTATTGGTTGTTTCCTCGACGCTGCCACTGGTGTTATCACATTTACTTGTGAAGGCAAGCCAACATCTTACATTTTCAGGGTATGTTTCACATCATCATCAATTTTCTTCTTCATTGTTTACACTTTAGATGGAACCTGAGACTAAACTCTTCCCGGCGATTTTCGTCGAAGCCACAAGCAAAGAAATCCTCCAGATCGAATTAGGTCGTACACCCACAAGTCTACCACTTTCAGCAGCAGTTTTGCAAAATAGTGCCAAACACGTAATCCCCCAATTCCCACCAAGACTCAAAGTGCAATGTTTGAAGCCACACCAATGGGCTCGAGTGCCCAATCAGAGTTTACAAGTTCATGCATTGAAATTGTCCGATATAAGGGGTTGGTCAATGCTGTGTGAGGATGCTATTTCCATGCTAGCTCTTCACATTCCTGAAGAAGATCGCTGTATTGATGTGCTGGAATTGATTGAAATGGACAAACTGTTGAGTTTCCATGCACATACTTTGACTCTTTATGCCGCTTTGTGTTATCAAAGTAACTATAAAGCCGCTCATGTGCTGTGCAAACATGTCAATCAGAGACAGCTTTTGTATGCCATCAAAGCGGAGTATATGAGTGGGCCTTTGAGACAGGGATTCTATGATTTGCTTATCGCTGTTCATATCGAATCAGCTGCGACTACGATGTGAGTTATTTAAGTGAAATTTCAGGTCGTTTGATTTGTTTTTGTTACAGGGAGGTTTGTCAAAATGAATATGTTATTCCGTTAAGTCAAGAACTGAAAGAAATGTATGAAGATGCAGAGATGAGGCATAGTTTGAGGGCTCTCATGATGGAGTCTGTGCAACCGCAAATGAAAATGTCTGATATAACGTACGTATGCGTTTTTCTTACACATATTTAGTTTCAAATTTGAAAGGAAAATACTCTTAAGTTTATGAAATAAATTTCAAAAATTTTAATAGGATTAAAACTTACGAAAATACAAACTTTTACTTGATATTTTACGATACACCACGACGCCCCAGACATCTATTTGTGTTCTAGTCTAATACAGGGTGTTAAAGGTAATAGTATGGACCAAAACAATTTATTTGCAATCTTTTCAAACAAAAAAAGAGAAGCTTTTAGTAACGATTTTAAAAATTTCCTCATTCGATATCTCTAAAACCGTTACTTTGCGGACGCATGTTTCTTAAGATTTTTTTTTTATTTTGGTCCATACTCCTCTCCTGAAATATTTTACAATCTTTTTTTTAACACCCTGTAGGTAGATTATTCATATAAAATTTCATGTTTTTTTAAATTTGTGTGTTTTATGCACTTTAGGTTCCTTTGAAGTGCATTTCGATCAATTTGGAAGTTTTCAAATTTTAGATTTTTGACAAAATTGTGGTCGATTTTCTGTACCCGGAGCGGTCTATTGCCAATAACTGCGGAATTATTGGTACTAGCCTTTTGTGTTTAGGGCCGTTGGAAAGCAAATTTAATTTTTTGACATATACAAAAAAGATCAGTGTTCTACGATAAATAGTTATTGAGAAAATTACTGATAAAATAAAAAATATCGAAAACAACTAAAACTTCTAAACTGTGAATTTTGAGGTTTTCTTGACGCTAATCGATTCCTCGGAACAAATTTACATAGACATACAATATACCTGTGACGTACTTACAATTTTGTCACATTTTACAAAATTCACGAAAAAAATAAAAAGTGTGAAATTGCAAAATTACTTTTTTTGAAGTCAATGAGAAAAACAAATTTAAATTCAAAAATATAATGCTTATTTTTTATCACTAAAACGATGTATAATTTCAAATGTTTATTGCCCAGTGAAGAATTAAATTTAAACTCATCGTTTCTGCGTTAATTTGTACAAATTGTCCAATTTTCTAGTAACAGTAATCGCCAACTGAGAACACACTTTTCAATGTACAAAAGTTCGCGATTGTTCGGTACTAAACTAGGAAAAAATTTGAATTTTTTAAAGAAAGTTTAGGAAACAAATTTTATTTTTTTATTTTTTGAAGTCATATGAAAACTTTAATTTGCGTTTTTTTTTTGGAGCCCACTGAGGATACAAAATTGACGAAATAGCTCCTTATCTAATTTTCATTTTTCATGGCTAATTGGCAAATCAATTTATATTTATTATTTTTGCGTCTTTTTCAAAGTAAATTTTAATTGAATTAAAACAGTTTTTCTATGGCTAATTGGTGAGGTCTTTGTATAATCTTGAATTTGATTGGTTGAACACATTTTTTAATTATTGGCGGATTACCACTATCGTGGGAACAAACCGGATTTTATTTCTTATTGGCCAAAATACGACAAAAACCCAATTCTACCCAATTAAAAAATTGTGAATTCTGAATCGAATTATTATAACAAATCAGCGTTGAGTATGAGTTATCTTACTTTAATTGGATCTAATTTTGCAAATTAGGTGGAGCCAACTCCAAAGCCAATATGAATCATGCACTTTCGGTTATTAGACCAATAAAAACTGAAAAATTATTCAATGCATTAAAGTTAAGTGTCATTGCTCGATCGTTAGCCATTCAATTACGACTTCAAAAATCAACCAATCAAAACACGTCTTCGATTTTTTGACAAGAGAAATTATAAAATAATTAAAACTTCTGTTTTAAAAATCGGATTCTAGAATAAACATTAATTAATTTAATTAATTAATTTTCTTTACTGTCAAATGTCTAAAAAAACCATTGTCAACGCCAATCGACTCCTCGGAACATTTTACATGGATACACCTTTGAGGTACAGTTTTGTCACATTTTAGAAAAAGTAAAAATGTGAAATTGCTAAATTAGTTTTTTCGAAGCCAATGAGAGAGACAACTTTAAATTTAAAAATATAGTCCTTATTTTTATCACTTTTATTACCCAATGAAAAATTAATTGAAACTCATCATCTCTGCGTTCATTTATACAAGTTGTTCAAATATTGTCAATTTGCTAGTAACAGTATTTTTTTATTGAACATACTGTTCAATGCACAAAAGTTCGCGATTTTTTGGTACTAAACTGGGCGAAAATTTGGATTTTTCAAAGAAAGTTTATGAAACAATTTTAATTTTATCATGTTTTGAAGTCATATGAAAACTTTAATCAGCGTTTTTTTTTTGGAGGATACAAAATTGACGAAACCGTCCCTTATCTAACATTAATTTTTCGTGTCTAATTGGAAAAATTAATTTAAATTAATTATTTTTGTGTTTTTTTCAAAGTAAATTTGAATTGAATTAAAACAGCTGAGTTTTTGCATAATCTTGAATTTGAGTGGTTGGACATATTTGTTAATTTATTGGTCCGATTATAAGGACTAATAATAATCATTTCGCCTTCATGTAAAACGGACCAATCAGAACACAACTTAGATTCTTTGACAAGAAAAATGAAAATAATTAAAATTTGTATTAAAAAAATCGGTTTCTTTGAGTTTATTGTGAATACTAAAAATATTAATTAATTTTTTTTTTCTGTCAAATGAAAAAAATCGTTGTTGAATACAGTTTTGCCACAATTTACAAGAAAAAGTAAATTTTTTTAGTACAATTGAAGAATTTTAAATTTTTTCATAAGAAACCCGGCGCCTCCACCAAAATTAACACTTTGTAAATGTTTTTATAAGTCTTCCCATTTTCAGCGACACTGTTGAAAACATAAAAAATTTGTATTCACCTTACTTCCCCTTGGACATCGTCCGAGACTATGTCATGACAGCTTTGGCCGAAGCTGTTGAAACCAACCAAGTGCACAATCGTGACCCAATTGGAGGCTCCAATGAAAATCTATTTCTGTAAAAAAAATTCCCACCAAACTTAACACTTTCTAAATGTAAAATTCCAGACCTTTACTTAAACTAGTCGATCGTTTATTACTAGTCGGAATGCTACGTGACGAAGACATTGCAAAACTCCTCATAATGATTTGTCCCGAAACTTGGGACCCTTCATTCGAAAAGGACGGCAAAGACGAGCACCGCAAAGGTCTCCTCTCGATGAAAATGGCCGAAGGAGCGAAACTACAAATGTGTTACCTCCTTCAACACTTCTGTGATATTCAATTGAGACACAGAGTGGAATCCATCATTGCATTCAGTCATACTTTCGTTGGTGATTTACAATCGGATCAATTACGACGCTACATTGAAATCAAACAATCTGATCTTCCATCTGCTGTGGCAGCAAAGAAAACAAGAGAATTTAGATGTCCACCACGTGAACAAATGAACGCGATTTTATCATTCAAAAACTTGGAGGAGGAAGATAAGGAAAATTGTCCTCTAGGGGAAGAATTATGCGAGAAACTGAACGATTTTCACGGTTTATTGATGAGTCACGTGTCGTTACAAGCCCTCCAAGCGCCTTCAGAAGAAGAAGGTAATGACGTCCAAAAACCGGGACCCTTCAAACGGTTGTATAATTTCATCAACGCTGTGAAAGAACTAGAAGAAGAACCGAAAGAAGAACCCGAACCGGAGAAAAAAACCCCGGAGGAAATCTTCCGGAAGGTTTTAATCTCAACGATTGTGCAATGGGCCGAAGAGGCTCAAATCGAAACCCCCAAACTAGTCCAAGAAATGTTCAGTTTGTTAGTGCGACAGTACGACTCCGTTGGTGAATTAATCCGAGCTTTGCAAAAAACCTACGTCATAAATGCGAAAACCAAGCAAGATGTTGCAGAAATGTGGGTCGGTTTGAGCAAAATCCGGGCTCTTTTACCAGTTCAAATGTCCCAAGAGGAGGAAGAGTTGATGAGGGAACGTTTGTGGAAATTGGTCAATAACCACACTTTTTTCCAACACCCGGACTTGATCCGGGTTTTAAGAATCCACGAAAATGTCATGGCCGTTATGATTAACACTCTTGGTCGCCGCTCACAAGCGCAATCTGACGCCCAAGCACAAGCACAAGCCGCCGAAGGCGACACCACTGTCAAAGAGAAAGACACTTCGCATGAAATGGTCGTGGCGTGTTGTCGCTTTTTGTGTTATTTCTGCAGAACGGGGCGTCAGAATCAGAAAGCTATGTTTGAACATTTTGATTTTTTGCTTGAGAATAGTAATATTTTACTCGCGAGGCCGAGTTTAAGAGGTTCAACGCCGCTAGATGTGGCTTATTCGTCGTTGATGGAAAATACGGAGTTGGCGTTGGCTTTACGTGAACACTATTTAGAGAAAATTGCGATTTATTTGTCACGGTGTGGTTTACAGTCGAATTCGGAACTTGTGGAAAAGGGGTATCCTGATTTGGGGTGGGATCCGGTGGAAGGTGAACGGTATTTGGATTTTCTCAGGTTTTGTGTTTGGGTGAGTGTTTTTTTTTTCACAAAAATGTGGTGTTTTCTAACGTTTAATTACAGGTTAATGGTGAAAGTGTTGAAGAAAATGCTAATTTAGTCATCAGATTGCTTATTAGAAGGCCTGAGTGTTTAGGGCCGGCTTTAAGAGGAGAAGGCGAAGGCTTGCTGCGCGCCATCGTAGATGCAAACAAAGTGAGTTATTTAAATTAAATGGAAAAAATTATGTTCGAAATTGCTTTCTCTATATTTTAATTAATTATTACATAATTACGATTTTCTTGGATGTAGAAATATGTATTTCTTTTATTTTATTTTTTAAATATTTTTTTCACATAAATCTCGTTTTGAACGAAAACTTGCGAAATATTTACGTTTTTGTCTAAAAACCATGATAAGGCACTTGAAAAAGCAAAAATTATGACTTGAATTTGTGTTTTTTAAGCAAAATCTTACAAAGAAGGTAAAGTAACACCATTTTCTAGCAAATTATGTGTTTGACAAAATTTTGCTTAAAAATGAGCCAAATTAAATGAAACAACGAAATAACATCAATTATGATTTCTTTTTAAAATTTTTAGGCACGTGTTGTCCAGATTTTGCAAAATAAATGAGTCTCGGGTTCTAAAACGAAGTAAACAGAGCGAAATGATTTCAATTAGAATCTAATTTGGTACATTTTCAGCCAGTTTTAGCAAAATTTAATTCACAAAAGTGCTTAAACACTAAAAATTTCTCTAAAAATTTTGCTTTTTACTTGAAAAACATGCCAAAACCTTTGATAAATGAAAAAATAATGACTTGACTATGTGTTTTTTTTACAAAATTTCGCAAAAAACTTACAAAAAAGGTAAATAACACTCTTTTTGACCAAATTTTTTGACAAAACTAAATTGAATGAAACAACAAAATAACATCAATTTTGATTGATATATTTTTGTAATTTTTAGGCATGTTTTGCTAAGATGTTGCAAAATAAGTGAGTCTCTGGTTCTAAAATGAAGTAAACAGAGCGAAATAATTTCAATTAGATTCTAATTTGGTACATTTTCAGCCAGTTTTAGCAAAATTAAATTCAAAAAAATGCTTAAACACTAAAAATTTCTCTAAAAATTGGCCGGATTTGGTAAATTTTCAGTTTATTTTTAATGAAATTTTGCTTTTTACTTGAAAAACATGCCAAAACTTTTGATAAATGAAAAAATAATGACTTGACTATGTGTTTTTTTAACAAAATTTCGCAAAAAACTTACAAAAAAGGTCAATAACACTCTTTTTGACCAAATTTTTTGACAAAACTAAATTGAGTGAAACAACAAAATAACATCAATTTTGATTGATATATTTTTGTAATTTTTAGGCATGTTTATGAGTCTTTGGTTAGAAAATGAAGTAAATAAAGCGAAAAAAGCTAAATTAATATCAATTAGAATCTAATTTGGTAAATTTTCAACTAAAAATTTTTTTTAAAAAATTTACATTTATTTCAAAAACGTGCGTAAACATTCTAAAAAGCAAAAATAACACTAATTTTGGTCAGATTTGGTAAATTATCGGTTTGTTTTTTATGAAATTTTGCTTTTACTTGAAAAACATGCCAAAACACTTGATAAAGCTAAAAATAATGACTTGACTTAGTGTTTTTTTGGTTTGTTTTAGCAAGCTTTTGCTTATAAGTGAGATTTTAGTTCTAAAACGTGTCTAAAGACTTAAAAAAAGTAACACCATTTTTGACTAAATTTTGTGTTTCTTGTCTCATTTTTTCACAAAATTTTACTCAAAAGTAGTTAAAAACGAATGAAATAACGTCAATTTTTAGGCATGTTTTGCCAAGATTTTACAAAATAAATGATTTTCTGGTGTGTAAAGTGTAAACGAAGTAAATAGAGTGAAACAAGCCAAAATAGTATTAATTAGAATTTACTTTGGTACATTTTTAGTCAGTTTTAGCAAAATTTAATTCAAAAAGGAACTTAAATACCCTAAAAATTGCAAAAGTAACAGTTATTTTGGCCAGATTTGGTAAATTTTCAGTTTAGTTTTAATAAAATTTTGATTTTTACTTGCAAAACATGCCAGAACCCTTGATAAAGGAAACAATAATGGCTTACTTTGTGTTTTCTTAGCAAAATTTCTCAAAAAAAACTTACAAAAAAGGTAAATAACAACATTTTTGACGAAATTTTGTGTTTTTTAGCAAAAAATTTTGAAAAAACTTTGTATTAATTTTAAAAACGTTATTAAACACTCTAAAAACTGCAAAAGTAACACTAATTTTGAAAAGTTTTGTTAAATTTTTGTTTTTTATTAATGAAATTTTGCTTTTTTACTTGAAAAATATGGTTTGTTTTAGCAAAATCTTGCAAGAAAACCTAAGATTTTATTTTAAAAACGTACCTAAAGTTTCAAGAGAGGTAAGCTAATATCATTTTGGACGAGATTTTGTATTTTTCCGTCTTATTTTTTTGATAAAAATGAGCTAAATAAATCAAATGAAACAAACGAAATAACATCAATTTAGGTCTATTTTTGTAATTTTTAGGCATGTTTTGACATTATCCTCCAAAATAAATGAGTCTCTGGTTCAAAAACGAGCAAAACAAGCTAAAATAATGTCAACTAATATCCACTTTGGTAAATTTTCAGCCAGTTTTAATTAAAATTTCTGAAAAAACCTTGTATTTATGACAAAAATAACATTAATTTTGGAAGTTAATTTTTGTTTTTAACAATAACATTTTTCAAAATAATGACTTTGTGACCTTCTAGAGTGATTTTTTGACTTATTTTTAGAAAAATTGACTTTCTGGCTAAAAATATACCGTTTTTTTTAACTTCTGAAAAAATTTCATATTTATCATATTTTAGGCCTTATTTGCAATAACTTTCACATTCTTTACTTTATTAAGTACGTAACTTAAGAAAATAATATAAAAAATATGATTTCTATGTTATTGTAGCACATTTTTTATATTTTTTATTTTATTATTTCTTACTTATATATTTCTTATATTTACATTAAAATTTAAGGAAAATACAAGAACAATTATTTTTCAGATGTCTGAACGCATTTCCGACCGCCGCAAAATGATGGACGAAGCTGAAGGCACCGTAAACGTCACCCCCTTCACTCACCCTCTCCCCGAAAGTGACGACGATGAAGACTACATCGACACCGGAGCCGCAATTTTGAACTTTTATTGCACTTTAGTCGACCTTTTAGGACGCTGCGCCCCCGATGCAACAGTCATAGAACTTGTAAGCCAGTTAAAATCACAAGAATTTTAAAAAATAAGACACTAATTTAGGGCAAAAACGAGTCACTCCGTGCCCGTGCTATCCTCAGATCTCTAGTCCCACTCGAAGACCTCCAAGGCGTATTAAGTCTCAGATTCACTCTCCAAAACCCAGCTGCTGGCGAAGAGCGACCCAAATCCGATATGCCATCAGGTTTAATTCCAGGACATAAGCAATCCGTTGTACTTTTCTTGGAACGAGTTTACGGGATTGAAACTCAAGAACTGTTCTTTAAATTGCTAGAGGAAGCGTTTTTGCCTGACCTGAGATGTGCCACCATGCTGGATCGGGTAATAATAATAATGGGAACAAATTAACTGCACAATATATTATTTAAACGACAACAAAAATAATAAATGCACAGTAAAATAATTAATGCATAGTGAAATAATAAATGCACAGAAACTAATAATAAATGCTTAGTAAAAATAATACATGCACAGTAACAGTTATTCATTATACAAGACGATAAAGAAATTGTTTATCTACGAGTGAAAAGGTTAAGTCTACGAGTGACGAAGTCACGAATGGACTTTTTTCACTGTAGATAAACACTCTTTATTGTCGTGTAATTTTTCGTTTAATTTTGTACTCACCTACCAGACGATAAAAGACTACTTTATCTACTGAAATTAGTTGATAATAGCACTCTTTAACATTGAGTACAAAATAAAAATAATAAATGCACAGTAAAAATAATAAATGCACCGTAATAGTATATTACATAACGAGCACGGAAAGTGATAAATAACGCTTTTTCATAACGATTTATTTTTTATAATGGATACAAAAAAAAATATGTTGAATGAAAAAATACAAAACATTCGAGTGTGAATTGTACGTTAGATTTCTAACACACAGTGCGAAAACAAATCGCACAGGTTTTTGACCTCGTACGATATTGCCAATTTTCGCGCATATGTAATTGTGCGTTATGATCTACTTTCGTATATGGTCGTAGGAAAAATAATGAATGCACAGTAAAAATAAGAAATGCAAAATAAAGATTTAGTAAATTTTCGGTTTATTTTTAATGAAATTTTACGTTTTACTTGACAAACACGCCAAAATACTTGATAAAGGTAAAAATAATTACTAGACTTAGTGTTTTTTTGGTTTGTTTTAGCAAAATTTTGCAAAAAACTGAGATTTTAGTTCAAAAACGTGTCTAAACACTTATCACTTTTGATCGATATATTTTTGTAACTTTTTGTAGAACGTGCTTATTTTTGAAATAATAAAAATTTTTCACACAATTTTCTCAAAAATGGTTGAAAATTTACCAAATTAGATTCTAATTTATATTAATTTAGCTTGTTTCGCTCTATTTACTTCATTTTCTAACCAAAGATTCATTCAATTTGCAAAATCTTGGCAAAATATGCCTAAAAATTACAAAAATAAATCAAAATTAATGTTATTTCATTTGTTTCATTCGTTTTAACTATTTTTAATGTAAAATTTTGTCAAAAAATGAAACAAGATTTCAGTTCAAAAGGCATGTTTTTGTTAGGCATGTTTTGCCAAGATTTTGCAAAATAAATGAATCTTTGGTTAGAAAATGAAGTAAATAAAGCGTAACAAGCTAAATTAATATCAATTAGAATCTAATCTAATTTTCAACCATTGGGAAAATTTTTTGAAAAAATTCTTCTTATTTCAAAAACGTGCTTAAGCACTCTAAAAATTCAAAAATAACAATAATTTTGGCCAGATTTGTTAAATTTTCGATTTATTTTTTATGAAATTTTGCTTTTACTTGAAAAACATGCCAAAACAGTTGATAAAGGTAAAAATAATGACTTGACTTAGTGTTTTTTTTTTTGGTTTGTTTTAGCAAACTTTTGCAAAAAATTGAGACTAGTTCAAAAAAGACCAAATTTTGTGTTTCCTGTCCCATTTTTTGACAAAATTTTACTCAAAAATAGTTAAAACGAATGAAACAAATGAAATAACATTAATTTTGATTTATTTTTGTAATTTTTAGTCATGTTTTGCCATGATTTCGAAAATAAATGAATTTCTGATTCGTAAATGAAGTAAATAGATTGAAACCAGCCAAAATAATATCAATTAGAATCTAGTTTGGTACATTTTTAGTTATTTCTAAAAGGCGCTTAAATACTCTAAAAATTAGAAAAATAACACTAATTTTGGCCAGATTTGGTAAATTATCAGTTTATTTTTTATGAAATTTTGCTTTTTACCTGAAAAACATGCCAAAACCTTTGATAAAGTAAAAAATACTGACTTGACTCATGCACAGTAAATATAATAAATGCACAGTAAAGACAATGAATGTTTAGCAAAACTTATTAATTAATTAATTAATATTTGCTCATTTACAAACAAAATGTTTCTGAGCAAAATCGCAATACCGCAAAACGTTCAAAAACAAAATTGTGGTATTAGGAGCATAGCAGTGGCGTACGCTGATTAGACTGATTACCATTTGTGCACAGTTTCCAGTCATTGCTAAAATCATTCTTGCGCAGGGGCCCTCGCTAATACATATAACACCCTCCAATAATAACAAATTTTCAATAATATAAAAATAAGTACCAATAATAAATAATATCCTTGCACAGCGGCCATACATTGTTATGTAACTAAGACTGAAAATTCTTTAAATTCTATGTTGTTTTACTAATTTTGATTAAAGTTACTGAGCGTTTATTATTTTTATTCTTCGACACTGTCAAAATTTACGGTTTTTCTCCCGTGTAAGGAAGTTTTGACAACTGTTTGGCATTTCTCAATACGAAACGTCAAATTATTTTTAACAGATTTGAAGCAAGTTTAAGCCTTGTTGAGTCTAAATCGAAGAATAAAATGTTGTATTCAACTCGTTTGAGTGTAAATCGGACGCTTTATTCCACCTCGTGATGGTAAACCAAAAGCGTCCGATTTACACTCAAACTCGTCGAATAAATAACTATTACTGTCATACGAATATATAAATATATATACTGTGCAAATTGTATTTTTTTACTGAACAAATTACAATAAAATACTGTGCGTGCTTTACTTAGCACTTATTATTTTTACTGTGCAAAATATCATATTATACTGATCATTTTTATTTTTTTACTGTGCAAAAATTAGTTAAACATTAATCATTTATCATTTTATACTAATCAAAATTGAATTATTTACTGATCGCTTTATAATAATTACAAATTATTTTTCTAATTTTTTTTTGTAGAATGACGGGAGTGAATCAGACATGGCGTTGAGCATGAACCGCTACATTGGTAATTCAATTTTACCACTTCTTATTCAACACAGTAAATTCTACAGCGAAGCTGAGAATTATGCTTCCCTCCTTGACGCTACTTTACACACAGTTTATCGACTTTCCAAGAACCGGATGCTCACCAAAGGGCAAAGAGAAGCCGTTTCTGATTTCTTAGTGGCTTTGACAAGTGCTCTGCAACCTTCAATGTTACTCAAACTTCTTCGCAAACTCACAGTTGACGTTTCAAACTTATCAGAATACACAACTGTAGCTTTGCGACTTTTGACATTACACTACGACCGATGTGCCAAATATTACGGTTCTAACACCGGGCAAGGCCTCTACGGCGCTGCTAGTGACGAAGAGAAGAGATTAACAATGATGCTCTTCTCCAACATTTTCGATTCTTTGAGTAAAATGGACTACGATCCGGAATTGTTCGGGAAAGCGTTGCCTTGTTTGAGTGCCATTGGGTGTGCTCTTCCACCGGATTATTCCTTGTCGAAGAATTATGATGATGAGTGGTATGCGAACAAATCGGCCAAGACTGGCCCCGATGGCCCTTATAATCCACAACCGATTAATACATCATCAGTGGCTCTTAATAATGACTTGAATAGTATTGTGCAACAGTTTTCCGAACATTATCACGATGCTTGGGCTTCGAGGAAGTTGGAAAATGGGTGGCAATATGGCGAGACTTGGTCTGATAGCAATAAAACGCATCCGAGGCTAAAACCCTACTCCATGCTAAATGATTACGTAAGAAAAAAAGAACACAAAAGCAAAAAAACTTGAATTTTTTACAAAAAAAATAAATGATTTTTTTCTAAAACTATTTTCAGCAGACAAAAAGTGTTGTAAGCTGTGAAATTTGGGTAAATTTTGAATTTTACTTAGTGCTTTATTAGTACCTTACAACACTGGAACAAAATATTGAATTTTTTCTTGAATTATTTGTCCAATAATTGAATACTTATCGTGGAATTTATACACTTTAAAGTGTTTCATATCTTAATTTTGGCGTCAAATAAAAAAATAATTAGAAAACAACGTAATGTTTTAATAGTACTTCATCGTTTATAAAAAAAGCTGTTTATGAAAATCTTGAAAAAAACTGAGATTTTAGTTCTAAAAAAGTGCCTAAGGACTTAAAAAAGACAAAATTTTGCGCTTTTTTTTTGATTAAATTTTAATCAAAAACAAACTAAATAGAATGAAAAAGACGAAATATCATCAATTTAGGTCCATTTTTGTAATTTTTAGACATATTTTGACATTATCCTGTAAATTATATAAGTCTATGCTTCGAAAACGAAGTAAACAAAACAAACAACTTACATGATATCAATTAGAATCTAATTTTGTAAATTTTCAACCACTTTCAGCAAAAAGTTTTGAAAAAACTTTGGTAGGTATTTATTTCAAAAAGGTGCTTAAACACACTAAAAATTACAAAAATAAGGCTAATTTTGGTCAGATTTGATAAATTTTTGGATTATTTTTAATGAAATTTTGTTTTTTACTTAAAAATATGCCGAAAGCCTTGATAAAAGCAGTGTTTTTTTAGCAAAATTTGACAAAAAAGGTAAATAACACCATTTTTTACCAAATTTTGTGTTTTTTAGCAAATTTTTTGACAAAATTTTGTCCAAATTTTTAAAAACAAGCTAAATTGAATGAAACAACGAAATAACATTAATTTTGATTTATTAAAAAAAAATTTAGTCACGTATTGCTAAGATTTTGCAAAATAAATGAGTCTCTGATTTGAAAACGAAGGTAAATAGAGCAAAACAAGCTAAACTTATATCAATTAGAATCTAATTTGATACAATTTCAGCCAGTTTTAGCAAAATTTATTTCAAAAAGATGCTTAAACACTCTAAAATTTGCAAAAATAACACTAATTTTGGCCAGATTTGGTAAATTTTCAGTTTACTTTTAATAGAATCTTGCTTTTTACTTGAAAAACATGCCAAAACACTTGTTCAAGGTAAAAATAGCGACTTGACTTGGTGCTTTTTTGGTTTATTTTAGCAAAAAAACAGATTGTAGTTCAAAAACGTGCCTAAAGACTTAAAAATGGTAAAGAAAGACAATTTTTGACCAAATTTTGTGTTTTTCATCTTATCTTTTGACAAAATTTTACTCAAAAACGAGCTAATCAAAGGAAATAAGTAAACGAAATAACATCAATTTAGGTCTATTTTTGTAAAAAAATCTGAAATGAAAATAGAATTTTTTTCATTTTACTTAGTGCTTCGTTGGTAAGTACTTTACAAAACTGAGACAAAAGAATTTTTTTTTCCAAATTATTTCCCAAATTGAAATACTAATCGAGGTACTTGGATTTATTTGATTTTATTTAGTGTTTCAATAGTACTTTATGGTTTATAAAAAAGCTGATTTTCTTAATAAAAATATTCTCTGCGGATTTTACTTACCTACTGATCTTGATTCAATAAAGAAAACAATTTATTTGCAAACGCCAGAAAAATGTCTCTTTTATGACTAAACTCTAAAGTGTTTTTACTTTTACCTGTCATTTACTATTACATTCACCATTCTTGTCTTTTTTGCTGTTTTAGCAATTTCTGGAGAGAGCTATTGTAAATTATCAGCATTCGACGCTTTGCACTACTAACTGCACTAGCCACTTTTATTTCTAATAACATACAGGGTGCGCCAGAACTCGCTCCCCAGAGAAAAATTTCAAATAAGACACCAGGATCATGGAAAAAAAAATGTTTAAAAAATTCTCTGTCAAAAAATTTTGACATTTATTTTTTTCCTCTTCTAATAACCTGTAGCACTTTGAAACTAGCAAAGCATTAAATAAAATTCCACCATTGGTACTTCAAGTAGTTTTTCGTTGAAAATGTTTTTAGATAAATAAAAATTTTTTTATAAACGATCCGCTATCACTGAAACTTGAAATATTGACGGATCGTTTATAAAAAAACTGATTTTCTGTATAAAAATGTTATTTGCGAGTGTTTCGTCGGTACTTCACAGTGCTTCATGTCCCAGAATTCGCAAATAGTTTAGATAAGTGTGCTTCATGTTTCAGTGTCATTGAATTTTTATCAAAAAGCAGAATAAAATCCGATAACATTTAAGCACTTTGAAACACTAATATGTAAAGCAATAAATAGAAATAATATCGCACCAAGTGCTTCGTTGAAAATGTTTTTAGAAAAAAATCATCCTTTTTATAAACCGAAACTGAACTACACCTAGTGGAGCAAAAAATTCAAGATTTTCAGTTGTATTGCTTATAATTTTTTCGCCACGCTAATTACTGTCAAGTGCTTCATCCGTTTTTCTTGTTAACATTTTTAGGAGAAAGAGCGGTACAAAGAGCCAGTTCGTGAGTCTTTGAAAGCATTGTTGGCCATTGGTTGGTCTGTTGAGCATTCAGAAGTGGATCATCCTTCAACCAATCGCAACTCAGTCCATCGCCAATCAGGCGAAGGCTCATCACCATTCAACTACAATCCCCATCCAGTCGATATGACCAACCTAACACTTTCAAGAGAAATGCAAAACATGGCTGAGCGACTTGCTGAAAACGCTCATGATATTTGGGCCAAAAAGAAGAAAGAAGAATTGAACACTTGTGGTGGAGGCATTCATCCACAACTAGTCCCTTATGACCTTTTAACTGATAAGGAAAAACGCAAGGATAGAGAGCGTTCGCAAGAGTTCCTCAAGTATTTGCAATATCAAGGTTATAAACTACACAAGTGAGTTGTTAAAATTTAACAAATTTGCAACTAGCTGAAATTTTTGAAGGCCCATTCGTGCTGGTCAAGGCGAAACTGAGCAAACCACAGCTGGAGCTTCAATCGAGTTGCGTTTTGCGTACAGTTTACTAGAGAAACTGATCCAATACGCCGATAGAGCCACAATTAACATGAAATTACTGAAACCTTCATCCACTTTTAGTCGCAGATCTTCGTACAAAACCTCATCTCGGGATATAAAATTCTTCTCGAAAGTTGTACTACCGCTGATGGAAAAATACTTCTCCACTCATCGCAACTATTTCATTGCTATTGCAACAGCTACGAATAATGTCGGTGCAGCGAGTTTGAAAGAGAAGGAAATGGTGGCATCGCTGTTTTGTAAATTAGCGAGTTTGTTGCGTTCCAAACTGACTGCTTTTGGGGCCGATGTCAGGATTACTGTTAGGTGTTTGCAAGTTTTAGTCAAGGGAATTGATGCCAAGTCGTTGGTGAAAAATTGTCCCGAATTTATTCGCACGTCTATGTTGACGTTCTTTAATAACACTGCTGATGATTTGGGACATACCATTTTTAATCTACAAGAGGGGAAGTACAGCCATTTGCGTGGGACGCATTTGAAGACTTCCACGTCTCTGTTTTATGTCAATACAGTGATTATTCCCATTTTGACAGCTATGTTCGACCATCTTGCCAATTGTGAATATGGAAGTGACCTGCTACGTGAGTTTCTCTCATAATTTTTGTTTTATTCTAGTAAAAAAGAGCTTTTGATTTATTACTGAACTTATCCTGGAAAACTCAAAATATTTCTTTGAACGTTGGAGATTTTTTGATTTTTGTCGAGATTTTGGTCGCTTTCTGGTATCCGGAGCTAATAACTCCAAAATTATTGACATTAGCCTTTTGTATTTGGAATCGTTGGAAAGAAAATTTAATATTCTATCATATACAAAATCACTAATTATGCAGTTTTCTCGACACCAATCGATTTCCCGGAGCACTTTACATATGTCTACGTCAAAACATTATAACCTTCGAAATACAGTTTTGTCACTTTTTCAAGATACATAAAAAAAAGTAAAAATTTGGGAAACAGTTGCATCCATCGTAATTTTTGTGTTTTTTTACTTTTATACGTTAGAGATTACCTTACAAAGAAGCGATCCATCAATAAAATTAACTTGGAAAAGCCATAATTTCGATTATTAAGTTTGGGGTAGAATTTAAACCCGAGATAAATTCCCGCTTTACTACGTAACTATCCCAAAAGCACTGACAACTGACAGTGACAAGTGGAATAATATGGCGGATGTTTAATCACAACGTTTAAATGTACTAATTTTTGGTATCATAATTATTATTGTATACACAGAACACAGAAATTAAAATAAACAAACACCAAAATATAACCTTAAAACAGATCTGCAATCTGCATTACCGACATTCAAACAGCCAATGAGCGCAAAGCTGGATTATTACATACCTCACACCAAATAAAACACGCGCGTTTTGAATTTATTTCATTTTGCGAGTTTTTGATATATTTTTTTTGTACTAAAATTAAGATTTCAAAAAAAAACATGGGTCAATTATTTTTAAGAAAAATTCAGAATATGCAATAAAAAAATATGTGCAACGACCCCATTGCCAAATTAGTTTTTTCGAAGCCAATAAGAGAAACAAACTGAAATTTAAAATTATAATTCTTATTTTTCATCACTAAAACGATTTATAGTTTCAAATTTTTATTGTCCATTGAAGAATTAAATTTAAATAATTTCTGCGTTCATTTGTACAAATTGTTGAAATATTGTCAATTTGTTAGTCACAGTAATTTTTTATCGCTAACTGGGAACACACTTTTCAATGCACAAAAGTTCGCGATTTTTCGGTACTAGACTGGGAAAAAATTTGGATTTTTCAAAGAAAGTTTAGGAAACAAATTTAATTTTATCATTTTTTGAAGTCATGAAAACTTTAATCTGCGTTTTTTGGAGCCCATTGATGATACAAAATTGTCAAAATAGTCCCTTATCTAACTTTATTTTTCGTGTCTAATTGGAAAAATCTATTAAAATTCATGATTTTTGCGTCTTTTCAAAGCAAATTTGAATTGAATTAAAACATTTTTTTGGACACATTTGTTAATTTATTGGTGCGATTACAAATTAATCATTTTACATTTACGTACCTACCTAATTACCGCTATGGTGAGAACAAACCGGTTTTTATTTCTTATTGGCCAAAATCCGACAAAAAATAACTCCACCCACTTAAAAAATCGTGAATTCAGAATTGAATTATTATAACAAATCAGCTTATCTTACTTTAATTAAATCTAATTTTTGTTTCAAAAAGTTAAATCGACTTCTTTGATTTTATTCATTATCTATTCAGAAAATGATTGTTTCAATAATAAACGTTAATTACGATAAATAGTTATAGAAATTGCTGATGAATTCAAAAATATCCAAAATCTCTCGGGCTTTTTGTCTATCTCATTTAGTTAAAGTAAAGATTGTCAAAATTATAAAACTTTTTATTTTAGTCGATGAAATTCAAGTTGCCTCGTACAAGATTTTGCAAGCTTTGTACACTTTGGGCACTGATACGACCCTCACCCATGATCGAAAATACCTCAAGACTGAAATCGAAAAGTACAAACCAGCCTTAGGTTCCTGTTTAGGTGCCTTCAGTTCCACTTTCCCAGTTGCATTCTTAGAACCTCATCTCAATAAAAACAACCAATTTTCTCTCCTAAATCGTATCGCTGATCATTCACTAGAGGCCCAAGGTAGACAAAATTAAATAAAAAAAAATCGAAACTAAATTGTTTTGTAGATATTATGGCGAAAATGGAGGGCTCGATGCCCACACTTGAGACGATTTTATCAGAAGTTGACCAGTTTGTCGAAAGTGAAAAGACATACTCTGATGCTCCTCATATTATCGATGTTATAATGCCGATGTTATGCTCGTATTTACCGTTTTGGTGGTCTCAAGGCCCCGACAATGTCAGTCCTACTGGAGGGTAAAGTTTAGATTTTTGTGACCCAAAACGTTAATTTTTGGGTTTTAGTACCCACGTGTCGATGGTAACAGCAGAACACATGAATCATTTACTGAAAAATGTTTTAAAATTGATTAAGAAAAACATCGGTAATGAAACAGCACCATGGATGACACGTATCGCTGCATACACTCAACAAATTATCATCAACAGTAGTGAAGAACTGCTTCGGGACCCATTCTTGCCCTTAGCTGAGCGTGTGAAGAAACGAACTGAAACTATGTTTCACAAAGAAGAAAGTTTGAGAGGTTTTATTAAAAGCTCTTCAGATGATACATCACAGGTAAGAAAAAACAACATTTCATGAAACCCCACATTAGAAGTATTGGAAGTTCTAACAGTGATATTTATAGCTATAATCGGTTAGGTTTTTTTGAATCAAAGTATTTTCAAGATGGCGGCACTTTCTGTTACACCGGACATGGATATCAACTTTGTTATTTTAAATAGAAGGTTATGTTTTTTATTGCGTTTTTGGATTACTCAAGCGATTTTGAGAGAGTTTTTATCAGACTGTCCTATTCCTAAAATTAACCGTTTTTGAAATGTTTAGACTTTTTTTAATTTCTTTTAATTTGCATCTTTCTCTCTAAAAATCGATAACTCTACCATTTTTAATTATTTTGAAATCGTATTTGGTCATATGAAAAAAAAAAGGTTAGATCTTTTCTTTCGTGTATTTATAATTGGAAAAATAATTAACTAACCTCCAAAATTTAAGGTTACGTTTGGGAAACTTCAAATACCCGTAACTAAATTTTTTCAAATAGAAGGCCACAATTTTTTTTTACTAAATTAAAGAGAATTTAATTCTGCATCGATCTGTATCAACATTTCCTATACCTAAATTTTATGATTTCGAAGTTATTTTCATATTTTTCTTTCAAATCCAAAAAAAAAATTTAAAAGGTCTAAATAGAGATTTCGAAAACGGTTAAACTTCGGTATAGTGAAGGCTAATCAAAACTCTCTCAAAATTACTTGAGTAATCCAAAAACGCAATAAAAACATAACTTTCTATTTAAAATAGCAAAGTTGATATCCTTTTCCGGTGTAACAGGAAGTGCCGCCATCTTGAAAGTATTTTCATTGCGCAGAACTTAACCGATTATAGTTATAAACACAATTTTAGATAACTATCATTGTTAGAACTCCCAATACTTCTAATGTGGGGTTTAGCCGGAACAGCCTGTATAATAAAAAACTTGTAGATTGAAACTCAAATTCAAGAAGACTGGCATCTTCTAGTTAGAGATATTTATGCCTTCTATCCTCTCCTAATCAAATACGTTGACTTGCAAAGAAATCATTGGTTGAGGCATAATATCGCCGAAGCTGAAGACTTGTACAATCATGTAGCCGACATTTTCAATATTTGGTCAAAATCACAATATTTTCTACGAGAAGAACAAAACTTTATTTCTGCGAATGAAATTGACAACATGGTTTTGATAATGCCGACGGCTACGAGGAGACCGGTTGTGACCGATGGGACGCAACAAACCGGAGGCAAGGTTTGTATTTTACTTGAAAAAATGTATACAATTAATTCCAATTACAAGAAAAATCCATCGGAATTCCAGTAATTCCAAAAAATTCCACCGAAATTTCAGTAATTAATTCCTGTAATTCCAAAATAATTCTCGTAACCTGTTACATTTTACAAAATGCATAAAAAAGTAAAAATTTATAAAATGGCGAAATTAGTTTTTTCGAAGCCAAGAAAGAAACGAATTCAAATTCAAAAATATAGTCGTCCTTATTTTTTAATTCATAAAATGATTTATAATTTCAAATTTTTATTCCTAAAGAAGAGTTAATTTTAAACTCATCATTTCTGCGATCATTTGTACAAATTGTTGAAATATTGTCAATTTGTTGGTCACAGTAATTTTTTTTCGCCAAATGAAAACACACTTTTCAATGTCTGCGATTTTTTGGTTACTAAACTAGGAAAAAATTGAATTTTTCAAAGAAAGTTTGGCAGAATTTTATCATTTTTTGAAGTCATGTGAAAACTTTAATCTTTTTTTGAAGCCCTTTGAGGTTACAAAATTGACGAAATAGTCTCTTATCTAACTTTAATTTTTCATTGCCGATTGGAAAAATTAATTTAAATTCTATATTTTTGTGTCTTTTTCAAAGCAAATTTGAATTGAAAAAAAAAACAATTTTTTTTTATGGTCAATCGGTGAGATTTTTGCATAATTTTAATTTGATTGGTTGGATACATTTGTTAATTTATTGGTGCGATTACAAGGGCCAATAATAATCATTTCACATTCACGTAATTATCAGAAATTATCATTATCGTGAGAACAAACCGGTTTTTATTTCTTATTAGCCAAAAACCGATGAAAACCTAAAAACGGTGAGTAACTTCACCCAATTAAAAAATCGTCACTTCTTTTTTTTTGTCAAAAACTAAAATTGCTTCCCTAGCCGAAAGTATAATTCCAATCGACCCCGGGTTTTCACCATTCGATAAGACAGTTTTTTTAATTTTTCCGTAGATCTTACAATGTTTTCAAAAAACGCGAAATCTAATTTTTAACTTGTTTGCAGTTTTTGATTTTTTCTGGGTAGATTTAGGATCATTTTTTTGTATAATGGAAAATTAAAAGTGCTTTCCAAAAGGGCCTACGCCAAATAGTTAGAAAATCCGCTGTGGGTAGCAAAAATCGGTCAAAATTTTGAAAAAATTAAAACTTAAAAATCGGCCTAAATGACGTTTTTCACACTTGGAGAGGTGCTAGGGGCTAAACAATGCATAACACATGTTCTTGGGCGGTGTTTGCAAAATCGATTTTTTGCTTGAAAATGTCAAATAACGTTGAAAAAAAACGAAATGCAGTTTTCTAGAAGCAAAATCGCGTGAGAAACACAATTATGTGAATTAAAATATTCTAGGACTCGTAGTTTCCCTATTATTGGTCAATATTTTATTTCCGGGTGTAGTCCGGAGGCAAGTTTTTGGAAAAAGTGTCCAACGGTACCAAGCATAAGAGCTGACGCTAAATAGTTTTGGAGTTGTGGACGAAAATTGACTCCGGGTACCTACTGAAAAACCTGTAATTCCAAATAAATTCAGTAATTTACAAATAATTTCAAGTAATTTTGTTTGAATTCCAAAAATTCAAGAGTTAACGGCCCCTTGAATTTTTTTGCATAGTAATTATGAAAGTTGAATTTTCATTACGATTAATCGTAAGTATAGAAGGTTATACTTTTTTAAACGTTTTGTATTGTTATATTTCTATAGTTATTTCTATAGTTTCTATAGAGTTCGTTACAAAGAGCTCGCGATACATTACAATTTGATTTATCAAATTGAACTAAATAATGTTAAATCATCTTTTTTAAATAATTTTGAGTTATTCGTTAGAAAAAACTTTGTACCTAACTCTTTCGGAAAGAAATTTCCCGCATTCGCACTAAATGCGAACAAACAATAAAGTGCTCATGCGGGAAAATTATCTTTCCGAATTCGTTAAGTAAATAACTATTTCAATCTTGTAGAAAAAGAAGAAGCATCGTGATAAGAAGCGCGACAAAGACAAGGAAATCCAAGCCTCCTTGATGGTGGCTTGCTTGAAACGTTTACTACCAGTAGGTTTGAACTTGTTTGCTGGACGTGAACAAGAACTGGTCCAACATTGCAAAGATCGTTTCTTGAAGAAAGCCCCAGAGTATGACATCATTGAATTTGCAAAAACTCAGCTCACTTTGCCTGATAAAATCGATCCAGCTGATGAAATGTCCTGGCAGCATTATTTGTACAGTCAATTGGGGAGCAAAAAGAGTGCTGCTGTGGGAATGGTCGACAACAACGGCAAAAATCTACTAGAAGAGACAGTTGATAGAATTGTTGCAATGAGTAAAGTCCTCTACGGGTTGCACATGGTGAGTTAGAAGTTCAAGGACAAGACACACTCACTTAGGTTTTAATCAACACATTTCTAGTTTTTCATAAATTTTTGTTTATATTGTTTTAATTAGTTCTTTGGTTTGCGCGCTAGATCGATCACCCACAACAACAACAAAAAGGTGTTTACCATAGTGTGGTCTCGACTCAAAGGAAACGTGCTGTACTTTCTTGTTTCCGGCAAGCTTCCTTGCACAGTTTACCAAGGTTTGCGTTTCTGTTTTGTAACACAAAAAAAAATTGTTTGGTGTTAATTGTGTATTAATCATTTGTACTAACAGGCGTGTAAACCGAAATCTAACAGAAATAATTGGAAAAAAATCCTGGGGGCTGCACGGAAAAGGGCAGCACTTGCCTGTCTTAGGTGTCGCCCCTTGTACAAACACAGCAGGTTTGTTTGTTTTCTTCTACTAACTTAACAATTTTTTACAACAAAACAACAAAAATCTAATTGAAATTTTCGTGGTAGACATCGAGCTATAAATATTTTCATCCGGTCCTACTACGAATTGTGGTTGCAAGACGAAAATGTTGGCCAAGAAGTTATGATTGAGGATCTCACTCAAAGTTTTGAGGATTCGGAACTTAAGAAGAAAGATGTTGAGGAGGAAGAAAGCAAACCGGATCCTCTTACCCAACTTGTGACTACTTTCTGTCGAGGAGCTATGACTGAGCGTTCTGGGGCTTTACAGGTTTGTTGAAAAATAAAAAAAAACAACCAAAATTCAAGAAAAATTAAAAAATTAAAACTAAAATGATTTCGCAAAACAATGAGTAAAGACGAAAAAGTAAAAAATAAAAATATACAGGGAGTTCCGTTTTTATTGTTACAAATTTGAACAGGCAAAAAAATATTCAATTTTAAGACAAAAGTTTCCTATAAACATGTATCAAAAAATGTTTTATAAAGGAGCTAATTTACTAATTTTTGGTCCATTTGGGTGAAATTTTACTTGAAAAATGCAAAAATAATTTCGTTTTCGACCCCTAATTTGGCTATTTTAGCAAAATTTTGTGAAAAAAATCACTTTTTATTCACTTAAAAATAGATAGATATAATTTTTTGCCTCATTAATTTTTGGGCATGTTTTCATTAAAAACAATTAAGATTTTTACTCACAAATAGGCAAAAAACACCATTTTCTATCTAATTAGGAGATTTCTCGGCTTGCTTGAGCAAAATGTCGCAAAGAAAAAGTGCATTTTTAACTGTAAAACTCAAAAATAATGTTATTTTCGACCAAATTTGGTCATTTTTCGGCAAATTTTGCAAAATCCTAAAAAAAACAGCTTTCAACTCAAAAACATGTTAAACGCTTTAAAAGGTGGTTTTTTTCCTTGTGAATGAAATTTTTTGAAAGAAATTAGGTTTTTACGTCACCAGTGAAACAGACCAAAATAGAACGGCAATTTGAATCTAGTTTGGTGATTTTGTGGCTTATTTTAGCGAAATTTTGCAAAAAAAGAAGTTTTTAGCTGAAAAACAGTCTTTTACTCTCGAAAATTAATCAATCTCTAAAACAAAAATTAAAACGAATTAACAAATAAACTCTAGCGCCAAAAATAGCATAATTTTTGGTCTAATTCGGTAATTTTTGGACCTTTTTGAGCAAAATTTTATACTAAGAAGGTTCAAAAATAATTGAAACGGCAAAAATATTATCAATTTCAATTTATTTCAATTTCAAAAAAACTCAGTTTATTAGCTCAAAAATGTATTTAACTGCTTAAAAAAACGAAAATAGCACAATTTTTTTCGACTGTTTGGACAAAATTTTCCAAAAAAGTTTCTGACTGACGAACTTTCTTAAACGCTTGAGAAAGTGAAAAATAACATCATTTTCGATTTAATTTTGTAATTTTTTTGTTTTGTCTCGATGAAGTCTTAATCAAAATTTGAGTTTTTATCTTAAAAACATGGTAAAACGTTTAAAGAAGTACAACCAAATTTGCCCATTTTTTTCGGTAAAAAACACAACAAAACAACTGTAACATAAATATTATAAAAATCTTTTAAAAAACAGCTTTTAACTAAAAAATATGTTAAACGTTTTAAAAGGTGCACTAACTCGTTTTGCTTGTGAATAAAAATTGTGAAAAAAAGTAGGTTTTTAGGTCATCAAACTAAATCCAGTGAAACAAACGAAAATAGAACGGTAATTTGAATCTAGTTTAGTGATTTTGTAGCCTATTTTAGAGAAATTTTGCGAAAAAAAGAAGTTTTTAGCT